CCCCAAAACCCCAAAACCCCAAAACCCCAAAACCCCTGTTATAAAATTAAGTATTGAAAGATTTAATTGTCTAGTTTTATAAACGCAAATGACTGCAGGTCATCATCAGGAAGTATGTTAGAGTACGAAGAAATTTGATACCATTTTTGGTCATTAACATCAAAATATTCTCATTCTCCATTAAAAGATCCACCAAGTACATAAATTTTATCTTTCACTCTTTGTAGTCATGGATAAAGTATCCGGCTAACACCCATACTTGCTAACTTCGTCCATCTCTCAGTCTTCAAGTCCAGCTTATAAACATTGTTAATATAAGAGAAATTATCGTCTTCATCGCTATAAAGGCCTCCACATATCAGAATACTTCGGTTTTCTTCTAAGACGCCGACTCCCATCTTTGCAACCCGAAATGGAAGTTTTAGTGTTATTTCTTCCCATAAATCTACAAGTGCATCGTACCTCTCAAAGGAATCAAGTAGCGAGAAATTCTCAAATCCTCCAAAGATATACACGAAGTGGCCGTACTTGCAGAAGCCAGGGTAAGCTCTGGCTGTCTGCAGCTCTGCTGCCTCTGTCCATATGTTTTCGACAGGGTGGTATTTCTCGCAAGAAGTCAGAGTGATAGGTGTCGTACCAATATTGTCACTCATCATGAAGCCTCCAATTACAAGGACGTAACCGTTTAGGTATATCGAGCAATGCCCATACCTGCGTTGGATCAGAGCTTCGCGAAAGTGCCCTACAATCTTCTGAGTTGCTATAAGTCAGGAATGTTAGTTACTTGTGTATGTATGAGGAAATTCCACATAAAAGCAGCTATCTGTAGCTTCGTTAGTGACTGTCGAGCATCCTCCAGTGGCAAGGAAGCAGTTAGGTTTATCTAACTGACATACTGAGAGGTATTTCAGATTCCCAATGAATTCAGATTTCTCGTGGTTATATTCCTTCCTGAACCATTTATCCTCTAAATTTCATATACAAAGTCTACCAGCTACGTTATAGCTCAGGGTGAATTGGTTTTGGCCAAATCAGAGGATCTCAGGAGTTTTGAAATATGCCAGTGACCCATTTTCCTTAGTGAGGAGATCTTTGCTATACTAATAGTACATGTATTTACCTCAGGCCTGTCTGGCCTCGTACCAATTCCTGGATGTCGTCTATCTCATCCCGTTTCTTCGTGATCAACTGAGATGTATTAAAACTACCATGAAAATCTGCCCCATTTTCAATCGGTTTGGGGATTTCCTGAATTTCATGCAATCTCTTAGGGTCCCTCATCTCCTCTGAAGAGTTTGACTGGAACGAATAAGAATCTAAACAAGTCTTGAACAAGCCTTACTCTCCGGGATGGCATGTTTGAGATTCTCAAATATTTTAGAATCAGTTTTGTCAACCTTCTGCTTTAATTTTGAATCAATAGAGGAAACCCCCAGTTGTAATGGCTTCTCAGCTTCAGTTTTTTCTGCTGGAGCTTCCTTACTGACACTTTTCAAGCCAGTTCTCGATCCAAGATGGGGTATACCTATCCATATAATTTATAGACATACTTGCAAGATTCCGAGTTACTTGCTTTTGTAGCAACTTCTTCATTCGGTTTTTCCTCTGATTATCATTAGTCGTACTAGGAATCATCTTATTATCAGGCACTAGGGCCAAAGTGTTCTTGCTGTCATATTGATGCAACTTTGTTTCCTTGGTCCTCTTAATCGTGGCAAATGACTTGACTTGAGATACCTTCTTCTTACCCCTACAGAGGACGTTGAGAAACACATCAGAGATACAATGCGATCAACCACTTACTTAGGAATAAGAGTAGACTCTTGCCTACTCCTTAACTTGTCTTTCTGCACAGGCAATGTCCTATCCTGGAAGATCTCGAGAGGAGGTAGTTTATTTATGGGCCGATTCCCTCAGTTTGTTCCCATTCTTGTTAAAAGTTTTTGTAAGAGGATCCATACTATTATTTATGAGCTTCTCTGGACTTTTTGAAGGACTCTCTTTTCGCTTGCAGTCTACCTTAAAATGACTAATCAGCTTTAGAACTTTCTCGGTATTAATCTTGAGAGGTTTCAAATTAGGGTCAATGTAAAACAAGCGTCTATTAACGCCAATTTCCTTTTTAATGTCATTCAGAACAATTTTAGACTCATTTCAAAACTTCTGTATTGTGACAAATTTGATTAAAATTTCAGCCTCATTTCGTTCCTGGAGTAACTCCGTGACTAGAGCTAGTTATTTCATCAAATTTACACTCATAGTAGGCTCTCTCGATCCTGTCGATCTTGCTTTTCTTGTTGTAGAAGGGTTGGAATATCTCCTCTATTGTACTAGATTAGGGTGGAAATTTGTAAATTAAATTTCAAGGAATTTTTAAGGCCAAAATTTGATAATTACTAAGTATCCCCATAAATACACCTACTCTTGCGAGTGAATTCCTTATCGAAACTCTCTAAACGGGTCAGAAGGACAAATACCAGTAAATTTCGCTACAAGCTGGTGTTTATTTCTTTAGGAGTTCATCAATAATCTCCTGGAACCCTTTATCAACGTTCTCGAATTGGGTCTGTCTCATTTCTTTGAGATGAAAGCTAAAAATCTACTCTCCAAATTACTTGAGCTTTTCTACGATATTCAAGTTATTATTGTTGACTATAAAAGAGGTAACCAAGAGCTTACCTATATAGTCGCAGCGGTGAGGTAATCCTTGAGTTTCCTTAATTCCTTAGCCATAACAGCGACAATATCAGTCATCTGAGAGAGCCGGTGCCCGTTGTGCTCCTCAAACATGCATTTTGAACAGACTGGCCTGGTGCAGTCTTTTCAAAAGTATTCTATACTTCTTGTTAGACCGAAAGTGTGAAAATCTAGAGATGACTTACCAAGAGTCTTCTCATGCATTGTTCATATAACAGTTTCCTCCATTATATTTTCAATTATCTATCTAAATGCAGGGGTTTTGGGGTTTTGGGGTTTTGGGG